CATTGTATAAGTTAAGTACGCATTCAAATGCTACTACGATTTTCAGCAGGAGTCAGAGATGTGGGCGGCTCCTAAAATTTGAATGGATCGATTGAGTCATGGCATTATCCTTCCATCACTTTATCATAACGATTATGTTTGGAGATAGTCAAGTTCATTCTGCTTCCATACATTGCGCTGGCTCGGTTATCTCGAAGGATTAGCCAAAGAAATAGCTTAAGGTAGCGTGTTTTAGTTTTGTTGGGTAGTTTTTTCTAACTAAAAATTCCTTCCTAGAAGATTTTCCGCCACTCTTTTTGTTTGCCTTAAACTGGGCTTATTTTCTGAGCTGCTTAGTTGAAATTGAGTGTTTCCAACAAGCTTTACAAGCCAGGAGTCTATAGAAGCTTGTGCTTCCTTGCTTACTTTGATTTTCACCACAAACATAACCAAAGGTGCATTCAAGCTCAGTCTTTAGTAACGATACCTGCTGTATGGATTATTCGGTAGGTTACAGTTAATGTAGAGTGAATAGCGTGCTCCAATTTTGTTGACGCAACGCGGAAAGCGCGCGGGTAACGAAATATGGGGAACAAGTAGGGATGCGTGCGATGTTTATTGGTTTTTTGTTTTTCGAATTGCATTGTCTACGCTGATTGTTTCTCTTTTTTGTCGCGATCGTATTTTTCTCTCTACAGGAAGTAGAATTTGCGAAACAGTACATATAAACATCTGTTCTAGCTATGCCGTAACGTTCGTTGATAATTCCTCAACAAGTTCCTCAATAACAACATTTTCCTCACGTCTCGGCATTTAATATTTGTCTTCATCTTTCAGTTTTGATGAGAAAAACCATTGGGTAAGTGGATCCAACGATGTCCAGAGGTGCATAATAGATTAGCGGGCTCCTAAAGTTTAAGCCAAACTTTTGTTCATCACATCTAATATTATTTCTTCCACATTCTATAAATCTTACATCAAACCCGTATTTCAGGTAGAAATCCAAATGTTTTCATCTCAAGGCATCAGTTTTAGTCATTAGTCAGTTTCATATCGATATTAACCATCGAGGATTCTCTTCCTCCCACAACTTAAATATGCCGCTCGGTTGCTTTTAAGGGCATATTTATATTTTAGATTTATTTTTAAAATTTTAGCGTTCATCTCCATGTAAATTGTAGAAGAGTTGCACAGCAAGAGTGTTGTTTGTAAACACCCGTAGTTGTGCGTGGGGTTTCAAACTCCAAAAATGCGTTCGGAACTCGAACTATAAGCCCTATATACCTGAAATACCTTCAGCCATTCTACTTTTTGACTTTTCCAGGCAATGAANNTTTTTTTTTTGCTCAAACGCGATTAGTACTATGAATAGGGGACATTTCCTCGCGCTAGGTGGATGGGAGTGAACCCTCACGACTGCGCTCCATTTGCTGTCTCTTCTGATGAATATTAGATTAGATCCGTAGAGCAGTGCTATTAGCCACTTAACTGCATTGCAGGGCGACATATCTTGAAGGAGGAGATTGATTCGCTGTCTTAGTAAGTAGTCACGCCATCCAGTCCGGCGCTCGTCACTCTCCTGGGCTACACCTTCAATTGTTGTCGAGGTGGGTATGTAGTTTAGGAAAGACCCAGGTGAACGGGTGGTTGTGGGTGATTACAATTGGAATTTTCTTAGAAACCACAAAAAACAGTTCACATGAACCGTGGTGGGCATGAAGTTTACTGGTAAATTCATCTCATTGGAAAATTGGAAAGTTTTCCTTGGACGGTTAAAAATAGGTCTCTATGCTAAGATAATGCTTCCATGGATAGGAGCAATATTTCATGGGATTTCTTTAATGTCGTAGCATTAATGAAGAGAATTTTCGGGATAACATATGCACAGCGCGCAATCCCCTGAGGCGATATAGCGTTGCTAAACAACCGCACGCTCTGATGCTATAAATTAGTCACACTTGTTTAGCCATATGAGGCGTTAATGTCTTCGAGTTGGATAGGAACCTCTCCAAGTGCTCATCGACTTCAGACAAAAACAAAATTCATCAAAATCGGTTTCTATTTCTGCTTGCATTCAACATTGCTTCACCTTCTGAGTATTGTTCGTGTTGAATTTTTTCCCTTCGTAGTGGAGTGCGGAGTCCCGTACGCTAGCCACTTGCTGCTACTCTTCTTCCAATTGAAATTCCGCCTTTTCCAATTTTATTAATTCTGAACTCTCCCAAAGAAAATTGGCGAATTGTCGTGTCATTTACGGTATTCTAGATGGCAACAGACGTCAGAATGTCTCCACAAGAAGAGGGCGAACTTTCTGATGTCGATCGAAAGGCGAGCTCTGATGAAAGTGAATTGAAAGAAAACAGAAAGAGAAAATACGTCGATATATCGGACACATCTGATAGAGAAGGTAACACGTCGGGTTCATCCTAACTTGAGTATTTACCAATTTCCATGCCATTTTAGAACGAAAGAAGAAAAAGAAAAGTAAGAAACATAAGAAAGAAAAGAAGCATAAGAAGGAGAAGAAACGCAAGAGGGAAAAAGCGGGATCGCGTGAGTTTCTCAATAGACGATTTTTGATGACAGGAAACCGTTCAATATCAGTGCTGTTTTGAAGTGTTTACATTTCAGCGAAGCGGCATTTCGTTGAGAATCCTCCTGAACCTGAAGAGCCAGAAAAGAGTGACTCAGGGAGGATTTCTGATGAATCAGACCACGAAATCAAGCCAAGAGATGATGACGACACACGCAGTCATGGTCACAGTAAAGAGGGTAGCGGCGATGAGGAGAATTTTTATGATAAAGTTGAAGAAAAGAAAAATAAAAAACGGAGTAGAGACGTGAGTATGGAGCGAAGCGAAAGTAAAGCTTCCAACAGAGATCGAAGAGCTGATAGGAAAGATGACAGGAAAGAAAATCTCCCTGAACGAAGTCGTGAAAAGGAGGACAATGGGAAGGAAAGAAGAGGTCGCGAAGAAACTCGAGATCGGAAAGATGATGTGGAGCGTAGGGATCGAAGTGATCGTGGACGTTCGAGAGATAGGCGAGACGACAGGCGATCATCCAATGTAGGCGCTCACCGTATTTATGTTTTTTTTTTCCAAAATGTTTTTCTCTTCATGTAGTCGATTTCAAAAAGATACGATCATTCAGCGGCAGAGTACTTCAAGCTGCCCTATTGATGTGGAAAATCAAACTTCCCCTTACAGTAGTCATTTTCGAAGTGTTTGCTATCTGGCTGGCCTTTTGTACAACTGCCCAATGGTCTAGGAAGGGTGCAAACTGTTACTTGATGAACTTGTTGTTGAGGTCATTCACATCTTGATCCTGTCTCTTTTAAGGACAAACAAAGCTTGTTACAGCCTTTTTTCGCCTTGGGAATGGAGAGCTATATCTTTGTAACAGCATCATCTTAGCCATTTTGGATTAACTGTTAAACTTCTTGTATCATTTTTTGCCTCTAGTAATTGATTGGTTTTAAGAGAGAGCGGGAAGAACGTGATAGACGAGATCGCGATAGGCGTAGAGGTTCTATAGATCGGCGAAGAGAAAGAAGCTCCGACAGATACAAGGAGCACCGCAGCTCATCTCGCTCTTACAGAGATAGAAGGGATGATAGAAGGTAAAATTCTGAAGGTGGCCTGTCTTGCAGGCTTCTCTAAACGATGATTTCAATAATGATGAATTAACTCATTCCAACCCGCTTCGAATAAATGTTTAGGGTGGATTCATATCGCGATAGAGACAGAAATCGAGACCGACATCATGGACGACGTAGTCGAACACCAGAAAGAAGGCGTAGTGGTCGAAACAAGTCTAAAGATGAGGTGGGTTTCTTTTGTCTGACGCCTTCTTTTTTTATGCATAGCATGGTTGCGGTACATTAAAGTGGAGGCAATTTGGAAGATCACAAATTGTATCGAGCTACAGTTTCCTTCTTATAAAAAAAGCTCACCCCGATTCATCTGAGATTCAGGTATCACATTGCTCCACTGTTCACAGCAGTGTTTTCTGATTGGATTCCGAGATTTTATTATTTTTGTTTTTGTTATTTCAACAATTTCTGCAAAGAATCATCTAGTCAGTACTATAGAATTAAATTTTTACCTGTAATACTACTTCCAATTTATCGCCGAGAACATCATATTCAAGGCATTTCCTGTTGTCATCAGTGGTAATTGAATATTGTTTTTGATTATGAAGTTGGCTATAAATTTATATGTTTGTTAATTAAAGGATGACGATATAGTTCCAAACGTTGAATGGAATCTCGAAGAAGATTCAGAGGATGAAGAGAAGAAGATTCAAGAACAGAGAGAACGACGAATGAAGTTGTTGCAGCAGATGAATAAAACAGAGCAAAAGGAGGCCCGTCTTTCATTTCATTCCATTTAATTAGCTATTTTGAGCGTTCCATATTTGGTCTGTATTTCCATTTCATCCCTTCTCATTTTTTTGAATCACCGCTAATCTAACTGTGTAGGAAATACAACCTATTCATTGAACCCAAAAGTCAGTCATTTCTTCAACCTAAAATCTAACTCTCGCTATCTTTTCCCGTATTTCCCATTTTGGATTGTTGCTAATTCCAGCCTGACAAAACGAAGATTTATTCCGAGGAAAGCTCCGAAGAAGATGCTTTGATCAGAGAAGCTCGTCGTCTGGTTGGACCGGTACTGTTTAATGTTCTTCCTTCTGATTTTGAAGAATCTGTTGGGTCCAATCTGTGAAAATTGTAGAGTGCTGGAAGCGGTGTTGGAAGCGAAAGCCCTATGAGCAGCAGTGCATTGTCCTCTCCCGACAGAGAGGCTGGTGATAGCACACCCGGTGATTTCTTTGCTGATCTCAAAGAGAAAATGGTTCATTTACGGTGAGTCTTTTGTTCCTTCATACATTCTCTGCTTTTTTTCTATTTCGAAAACTTTTAGTGGATTGGACGAGCACCTTGTTGACGAGACCTTACAAAAGGCGAAAAAAGAAGAAGCAGACGATGCCAAGCGTGAAATGGAGTATCACGCGAATGATACACCCGTCAGTTTGCTCCTTAATAGGACTTGCTCGGAATATAGTTTAGAGGGTGTGCTCATGTCTTTTAAACTTGGTAATATTGTTTCAGGTAGAACCCCCTAAAGAGGTCCCCCCTCCCAAGCCGGCAACGAAAACGAAAACAGAGTTTGATATGTTTGCTGACGACGCGGATCTTCCACAAGTGAGTAAACTCGTAGAATTTGAGTAAAACTCGTATTTCCTCTCTACAGGATGGTATTGTTGCCGACGAAGCGGTTGTTGAATCACAAGGCCATCACGCGGACGCTTTGAAAGATAACTGGGACGATGCAGAGGGCTATTACCGTACGTTTTTCAAGTTGTATAAAGTCACCCAGTTTCTCCCACAATCTGAGTCCCTTTCATTTTTACTTCAAATTCTTGCCCTTCGTGGAAGACGAGTGCGATTTGAAAGACCGTGGAGAACTGGAATGTCAACTCGTGTTTGCCTCTTGAAATCTCGCTACTTAGGGGTACGTATCGGCGAAGTACTAGACGGCCGCTACAGAGTTTTCGGGTATACTGGAGCAGGAGTATTTGGAAATGTGGTCAGATGCACAGATCAGAACCGAAATGACGTAGTTGCCATCAAGATCATTCGGAACAACGAGATAATGTGAGTTCCTCAATGTTTTCCTCTCTGAAAAGTCTTGTTTTGTATTTCACGGATTTATTTTAGGCGAAAAACTGGTCTCCGAGAATTGGAAGTGTTACGTAAGTTGAATGAAGCGGATAGGGAAGACAGATTTCATTGTCTACAGCTGTATCGCACCTTCTATCATCACAATCATCTGTGCCTCTGCTTTGAAAATCTGAGGTAGGCCACGTGCCGAGTCTCTGCCATTCCTCTCTCTAAATGATGATGACTTTTATGCAGGAAGTGCGATAATTGAATGATACCAGTATTTCAGACACACAGTCCTCATGTATGCTCACGTTTGGTCTGATATTGTAAGAGCGTGTGCAGTCCCCCAAGTGACCGGCAATCAATGCGCTTACACGGTCTGATTTGGTCTATTGCCGCCATGATAATCTCAAAACAAAAATGCGCTAGTTATACGCTCAATTGTTCACTCCTAGCATGCTCTGTCATCGCCAATTTAAGCAAAAATAATTTCGCGTCAATTTTGCCATTAGAATTTTAGTGAATGGCAGAGTACTCTCTATGTTTCAAATTCAACTTTCAGATCATTTTTACCGTAATCAGTTTTTGTATTCATAATTGAAATTGCAGCATGAATTTGCGAGAGTTACTCAAGAAGTACGGTAATAACGTCGGTTTGCACATGAAGGCTGTTCGAAGCTATGCCCATCAACTGCTCATGGCTCTGCGACTGCTGAAGAAATGTGGTCTTGTCCATGCCGACATTAAGCCTGATAATATTTTGGTACATCCCTCTATTCGAGTTTGTCTGTTCTTCTGAAGGTTCCTAATGGTTTCAGGTAAACGAATCCAAACTGGTACTGAAGCTATGTGATTTCGGATCAGCTGGCCACGTACGGGATCAGGAAATCGCTCCATATCTCGTCTCCCGATTTTATCGAGCACCGGAAATCAGTGAGTTGTAGAGAGGAATTCGCTCTCCCGTAGGGCAGATAGAACGGGTTATTTTCAGTGCTGGGCATACCTCATGACTACGGTATTGATTTGTGGTCTATCGCCGTTACTATTTATGAAGTTTACACTGGGAAAATCATGTTTCCAGGCAAGAGCAACAATCATATGCTTAAGGTCTGATACGTTTCATTTTTATGGGTGTCTTAACTCAAAAATTGGCTAGACTGCAGTTGTTATCACAAAGCCGCTTGTGGTCGTAGTACGTGGAAGTTGAGGGATCGGTCACGTCGCAGCACTGTTGTACATGATGCTCTATTGATTGATTTTTTCGAGTTGATTTTCGAGCGGAACAAAGCCTGTTTGAGATTTTTAGTTCAATGATACTGTATCATTTGGATATGGTGAGAGTTGCCATGTGATCGATCGCTCACTTCAAGCGTATTACGGCCGCAGCGCGTTCTGTGGTGGTAGGGGACGTGAGGTGCATATCTTTTTTGATTGATGGAACACTTTTGCAAAAACCATGCCAATGGGGACGTGCTATCGGTAGGAATCACATAGTTCCACTATATTTTAGACTAATTCAAACGCGATGCGTTATTTGAGGATTTTTGGTTTTTTTCAATCGATACGCATTTGTTTTACGCGACCAGTTTTGCACTCAACCCTGATGCAAATTGCCAGAAGCATCACTAAATGAATGCATAGAACTTCGTACCCTTCAAGGCGCGTACCTTCAATCGCATGGTATTTGCCAAAGGGTTTTCATTGATATTAATACTCACTTACATAAATATTAAATTACAAGCACCATAAGCTTTATCAAATGCAATGGCTGCTCCTCTCAAAATTCTTCCCCGGCAGGACTG